CTCTTTTTTCACAGTCTCAGTTCATTAGCACCACATATTCACTAGGTCCTAATCTCCTGTTATTTCACTCCTCCCAGAGTCAGGTTTTTCTGCTTGGCTAAGGGCAGGTGCAGACCTGAAGTTGCCCCGCTTATGACGTATGTCCAAAATGGCGCCAGCTCTTTGTCTTCCTTTGAGAGGTGAGCGGAGAGAGAGAAATTTGTGTCCGTATCGGTCACTTTTTTTTTTCTCCTCTCTCTTCTAGTTAGCCTGGTGAACTTTTCCCCATGGGGTTTCAAGCCTCGTTCCCTCTAGTTTCCTGTTTCCGCTTGCCTGCTGGTGTCTCAGGCTATTGAGGTTCGGCTCACCTCACGTTCCAGCGCTGGTGTGTGATTCTGCCATTGGTGTCCCAAACCGTGGGCTCCCACACCACTCTCCACGCAGGTCCACTGTGAATCACTAGTTCAGGAAGAGTTTCCTCTGCTATTTCTTCCCCTACTCTTCCTTGAACCTGCAGTATCTTCACTTTTATTAAACTGTCTCTTCCCGGACTATCAGTGTGCGCCCTTCCTATTCTGCCATCTTGCCTGATATCCTGTAACCTACTTTTAAATACTTCAGCATTACAGTGATTTCATATATGTACCATCTCATTTAAACCACAGCCTCAGTGTAGTCAGCTAACCATAAATCAGGAATTCACCTCCCAGGAGTGGATAGCAAGGAATCTAATCAGAAAGTTTGCATTCTGGAAATGGATATGGCAATCTGTTCTGTTTAATTTTTCCTTTATCATTACTAGAGATTTTGCTAATTAGTACAAGGAGTTAAGAAATGGGTGATTTATGTAGGTTATTAATTAGTGTAATGGATGTTAGAAAGGAATTCTTACTGGCAAAATTAGTGCTACTCTCAGTATGTGGGTTGGATTAACTATTTTAGAGAAAATTGAGGACCAAGGCTAACCCTGTAGCTTGTGTCATTAGGGCTGGTGCCCTGTGCTTGGTCCCCAAAGGATCTCCCCTCCACTGAGTAGATGGTGCTATTGCCTGGTGCTAATGAGAGGCACAAACTAATCCTGACTTGAAGAGTGTTCTTTTGGCATACAAAATGGTTTGCATAATGGACAGAGAGCTGAGTCTTCATTGAGCTTATGGAATAGGCTCTGTTAACTATTTTTGTCTTCTTACTAATAGATGCTTGTCTATAAAACACCACATGTGTGGCCTGTGTTAGCCAGAATTCTTCAGAGAAGCAGAACCAAATAGGTATGTTTGTCTCTCTTTCCGTTATTTGTGATGCTGTTTGAAAATACCTGAGACTGGGTCATTACGAAGAATAGAAATGTGTTTCTCACAGGTCTGGAAGTTGAATGTCCAAGACCAAGGCACCAGCATCTGCAGTATCTGGTGTCTGGTGAGGACCTTCTCTGGTCCACGTGGTACAAGGTGGAAGAGCAAAAGGCCATGAACTCCCTCCATAAAGCCCAAATACAGGGGCACCTAATCCTATTCATGAGGGTAGAACCCTTTTGACCAAATCACCCCTCAAGGCCATCCCTCTGAATACTGTTGTTGGGAAGGGAAATGCAACATGAATTTTGGAGGGGACAAAACATTCAAACTAGAGCTAATTTGCTCGCTCTATCTATCTATCCATCATCATCTGTCTATTGAGGGATTTATATTAAGGAATTGGCTTACACAGTTGTGGGAGCTGGCAAGTCCAAAATCTTTTTCCTGCCAAACTGGCAGGCCGGAGACCTAGCAAAGAGCTAATGCTGCAATTTTCATCCAAAGGCAGTCTCCAGGCAGAATTCCCTCTTCTATGGAGGACCTCAGTCTGCTTTCTCAGAAGGCCTTCAGCTGATTGCATGCAGCCCATATTATGGGGCAACAAGTTACATTCAAAGGCTGCTCATTTAAATGTTAATCTCATCTAAAACATACTATACAGTAATATCTAGGCTGATGTTTGACCAGACACCTGGGTTCCATGGCCTAGCCAGGTTGACACATAAAATTAATCATTGCACATATACTATTTTGCCTGAGTTATATTGCTATAAGTTGGTTGAGAACTTGCAGGAGAAAGTAGCTTGATTTGCCTTGACTATTCACTTTTGGTAGCTTCTGAGTTACTGTTATCTATCAGAAATAACCTAGTAGTTGTGCTTGTCTAAATTGGCCTACAACATGCAGGTGGAGGTCATTGGTTTATAGTATCTAGATGATGGAATAAAATGCAAGCCTGAATGCACTCACAACCTTGCCAAATCTCCGCCACAACTCTCCATTTGTTTTCAACTCATTTTTCAATTTGGAGCCCTGGGGCTCTCATACTTTTGACTTTCCTAAGGCTATTACAATCTTAATTTGTCAAGCATGAGCCCACCCTGGGATGCCTGGTTGCCTCCCAATGATGCTTCAAACTCCTTATCATAACCTACTGATGAGGTGAAGAAAGGGCTCAGGCACTTGTTGTAAAGGATACAGGAGTTAAAAAGAAAAAGGCACCAGCATGGTGGTATTGTGCTGCCTTGCTCTGGGGGCTGCCCACTCCTGTGGGGAGCAACCCGGACTGGACTGAGTTACTGGAATTAAGACTTATTCTATGCATCTGCTCTCCCACAATGTGGCGCTGGGAGAGGAGCGTACAGCTTCTACCCAGCTGCCTCTCACCAACTTGACAAGCTGCAGGAGCCGCTCCTGATTGGAGGAGAGCAGCGTACTCGGCGTGTGGGCAGCCGAGTTAGGATTGGCGGAGGAGGACTATAAAGGAGGAGAGAAACGGCATGCACCAGGAACATCTATGGGGAACATCTAGCTGAAGGAACACCCGTGCAGCCCCCGAGAAAGCCGGCCGGCGGTGTGCCGCTCCCCTGCGGAAGTGGGGAAAGTGGCCAGGGGGAACCGCCCTTCCACGGAGGTGGAAGGGACAGTAGCCAACCCAGGAAGAACCAGCAGCAAACCCGGGGAGGGCCGAGCAGACAAAAGAACAGCGCAGGGTCCTGTGTCGTTCCTCCACGAAGAGGGGGAGTGACACACTCCAGCAAGTGCTTCCCTGAATGAGTACTCTGCCAGGCTGGCCATGGCCTACCTTAGACCATGAAAGGCACATACTTTGGGCAGATTTTAAAAAAAAACACTGGTGTCCAAGCCCTGCTTCAAACTCATCAAATCAGAATCTCTGTACACTGAGCTAGCCATTGAGATACTGTACAATCATGGGGGTGTGCAACTGGGGTTGACAAACATGACTCCAGGGCTGTGTACTCTCTGTGTTAAAGACCACAGGGTCAATGCTTCAGGCTTCCTGGCTGTACAGTCTGCTGTGACTCCTCAACTCTGTCCTTGAAGAGATGGTGTTCAGGCCAGTGAACATGTTGTGCGCCAATGAAACTTCATTGGCAGAAATGGACACTTGAAGTCTACGTAATTTTCATGTCACGAAGTAGTATTCTATTACTTTTACTCCCAGGATTCTTAGCTTGCAGACCATACCAGAACAGGCATGGGCCAAATTTGAAACATAAAATGCATTTTACTGACTCTTACTCTGTTTTGTTTCTGTTTTCTTCAAGACTTTTCTTTTCGGGAGTGGGTGTTTGGCCTCATGGTTAAGGTGCCAAGTTAAGTTGCACGTGTTCCATTTCAGGGTACTTGAGTTCAATACCTGCCTACAGCTTCTGACTCCAGCTTCCTGCTAATGCAGACTCTGGAGGCAGCAGTGATGGCTTAAGTAAAGGGTCCCTACTACCCACGTGGGAAACTGGGGTTGAGTTTCCAGCTTTCTGCTTCGGCTGATGGCAGCCCTAGCCACTGTGGACATTTGAGAAGTTACCCAGCAGGTAGCAATTCTCTGTCTGCCTCTCTGTCTCTCAAATAAACAAATAGAGAAAGAGAAATTACATGCCCTGTCACTCATTCTCTTAGCATCCCAGTTATTTTCTGGAGTCCATTAAAATATTTAACAAAACTGTCTGTCCTGGTATTCAAGACATCGTTTTCCCTTGAAAATGTACAGTGTAACTGAGGCTTCTGGTGAGAATCTCTTCCTCCAATAATGTCTTTTTTTTGACAGGCAGAGTGGACAGTGAGAGAAAGAGACAGAGAGAAAGGTCTTCCTTTTACCGTTGTTTCACCCTCCAATGGCCGCTGCAGCCGGCGTGCTGCGGCTGGTGCACCGCGCTGATCTGATGGCAGGAGCCAGGTGCTTCTCCTGGTCTCCCATGGGGTGCAGGGCCCAAGCACTTGGGCCATCCTCCACTGCCTTCCCAGGCCACAGCAGAGAGCTGGCCTGGAAGAGGGGCAACCGGGAAAGAATCCGGCGCCCCGACTGGGACTAGAACCCCGTGTGCTGGCACCGCTAGGTGGAGGATTAGCCTATTGAGCCGCAGCACCAGCCCCAATAATGTCTTAATGGTCAAATTTCATTTTGGGCTTGATGAAATTCAGGATATACCACCCTCAGATAGGTTACATTGAAGACCCTTGAAATGCAGCAGATGCATGGAGGGGCTTTCTCTGAATGCCCCTTACCTGCCTGAAGGCAGATGGTCCAAGAAGAACTCGGTTGTCATTGGTCCCTTCCCTGGGAGTTTGATCCACCAGGGAAAATGAACTGGAATAATAGGAGAGGGGATGAGAAGTCCATGCCACACTGAAACTGCCACAAATGCTCACACTTCCCATCTATTCTTCAAAGTGCTGGTGTTGGTACATTTTCCATTGCTGTAACCAGATATCTGAGGCTGAATAGTTTGTAAAGGAAGGAGTTTTGAAGACTGATAAAGTCTAAGATTGGTAGTTCCATCGTTCCAGCCTCTGATGAGGGCTGCTTTGACTAAGTGACATCATAGTAGATGACATCATGGGGGGAGCATGTGTGAAAGGGAAACCAGAGAGAGAGAGAGAGAGAGAGAGAGAGAGATACTGGAAGGGGTTGCTCTTTCATAGCAAATCTTCAGGGAGAACCAGCCAGAGCCCCAGAAGAACTCTCCTTCTGAGGTCAGTGTCCCCAGTGACCTCATGACATCCACACCACCTCCCAACATTGTCATACAGTGATCAAGCTTCTTAGCCATGAGCCCTCTGATTACACTCACACTATAGCAGGGCTCGTTCGTATTTTCTAAAAATAATTTTGTAAGGCCATCACAAAACACAGCAAATACCAGAGTTAGAGGAAAGGTTTATTGTTGGGTGGGGGAAGCCTGACAGGCCAGGGGGAGAGGGCGAGAGAGTAAGAGAGGGTAGAAGAGTGTAAGAGAGAGAGATCAAGAGAGCATGTGTTCAGGAACAGGTCCTGTTAAACTTTTGCTGGGGGGTGGGCAGGGAAATAGGAGCATCGAATCCCATTAGGGTGGGGGTGGGGCTGACATTGGTGGTTGGGCCAAGGGGCTTAGGACCGAAGCCTACTGTGCAACATGGAGACCGGGGCCAGGGCGTAAGATAGCGAGTGAGGCATTGATGGTGCCACAGATAAGACCGCACCATTTTACTAACAAATTTACTTTCCCTCTAAATTCCCTACATTCCCCTATGAAGAGTGTGTATGAGCCCATAAAACCCAGTGGTTTTGGAAGAACCAGCCAGAGGGAATGTCTTTGCTGAACCATAGAGTCTTAGCCATACAGACTGGTAGAGCTAGAAGATGCCTTAGATTAGCTCTTTTTGTTTAAATAATTTATTCATCCATCCATTCAGAGCATTCTTATTAATCTTGGAGCTATACATCTCTGCCCACAGAAGAAAATTTTTAGCAAGTGACAATTTCTTGCCTTTGGTGTTTTCTAAAACAAGCCTGTGTCTCAGAAGAACCTTCCCAGCTCCCCTGGCCTCAGGAAATGCTGTTTATCCCTCCAAGCCCAGAGCAGGTGTCGATTCCTCAGGAAACCTCTGACTCCTTGCTCTATCCAAGAAGATGAGTTTGTTCTTCCAAGGTGTTGCCCTTGAATCCATCATCTCTGTGTTTCTACCCTTCTTTTATTGATCAATGAACTTCTCTGCACTTATTGTCTCTTGCTAGACAGCTGGAAGATTGAGAATTGTCTTACCCATTTCCATTTGCCAGAGCCTGACACACAGTAGGTGCTCAATAATCATGTATTGAATTGATTTACTTGCTCCACAAGTACTTTAGAGTCCCTACTATGTGCCAGACATTCTTCTGAACAGAGAACAGAACAGGCAAATGTCCCTGCCATCCTAGACCTGCCCTGCTGAGGAAGGGAGTGGGAGAAATAATCAACTAAATAAATAAGCGAGTAACACAGTATGTCAGATGGTGGCAATGGAGAAAGTAGATTGTGGAAGGAGCTGTGGAGTGGGGATGGGGTTGTAGTTACAAACAGGGGATCCTGCAAAGACTGAAGAGGGGGGCAGAGGGAACCATGATGCTGTCTGCAGGGCGAGGGTCCTAAAGCCGGTGTGGTGTGTGCAAAGTCCTAGAAGCAGAATGTGGCTGCAGCTAGGTAAGTAAGTGACAGGAGTAAGGCTCAGTGCATTGATTTGGAAGAGGAAGAGAATGGAGTTCTTGACCTCCAGAGACTTAGAGACTCAAAGGGAAGCCAAGACTCAGGAAGGTGAATGTTTTTCTTTGGATCACACAGCACTGCAGGTTAGTGCTTGATCTGGAGCCCGGGAACTGTGCCCTAATCTCTGGCACAGACATTACAGAGCCCCACCCCCTCCCCTTGCAGCATGAAGATAAATGGCCCTGCCGCCTTACAGGAAGCATGTCTTGTGTCCTGCCCTGAACAAAGGAAGAGGATGAGATTCAGCCAGACGCGGTGTCCAGGGAGGGCGTGTCAGTCAGAGCCTCAGCGCTGCCAGCAATTTTGAAGCTACCCATATTTCTGCTCATGAGGGACATTTTCTTGTTCTGCAACCTTTTAGCAGATGACAAGGTATTGCCCCGGGTGTATTCCAGAACACAAGTATTCGCTAAAGTGGTTAGACAGTTACTTCCCTTCAAAGCCAGGGCCTGCCCCGGGGGTGAAACCATTTGGATAGCATTTTATATTTTCAAAATATTGCTCTGACATGTTATCATGTATTTCTTGCAGCAGCTAGGCGATCCTGGCGGAGCTTTCTCGGATGCCCTATATGTCTGGGAGGAAGGGAAAGGACAAGGGCGCGCTGATGCAGTGGTGGTCATTACCATTGTCAGCAGGCTCGTCAACATCATCAACATCAGCACCATTTTCAATCATGATGAGGCACAAGAAAGTGTACAGCCTGGCTCCTGTGAAAAATGTACCATTGTGGTCAGGTAGATGGTTCTACCCACCCATTTCTCCATTCACATATTCATTCAATCATGCCCTCATCCTGCACGCTCCTACTGAGCTCCTGTTACATTCTGGATGATTATTGAGGATCCAAATGGATACTCTTTGCCCCTGGGGCAGGTGTTAGGGGAAGGCTGCACAGAGAAGAGAAGCTCTGCTTAGCTCAAAGGATGGACAGAATTGTACATAGATGGCAGAATAAAGAGGGGATGTTCAGGCCAACGGAGCAGCAAGTGCAAAGAAGAAGAGGCAACAAAGGGTGTGGCATATCTAGGGAAGACCAGAAGTCCGTTGTGTGTGGCTGGCACATGGGAGGGGAGCGCTGGGGTAGCTAAAAGGCAGGTAGGTTGGGCCAGAACTGAGGGTCGATCTGTCTGCCATGATAAGCTTCAAGGTACTTCTTCCTCCCAGCAACCAGGAGCAGGGGAGTGACATGATCAATGGAGTTTTTCAGGAGACCTCCTGATTGCAATGCAGAGGATGAGGAGGTAGCAGGGACTCATCCCTGTGATTTCTCTAGAAACCACGTGGATCCAGATAAACAGAGCATGGGGGATGATGGAGATGCGGTTCAAGGAGAATGTGGAGAGGTAAGTTCTGTGTGGCCTGTGGGTGAGAACGCTTCCTCTCTCCCCTGGTATTCCTCCTACATGGAGGGGGCTGTCTCTGGGCAGCAGTCCTGACATGTGGCCTGTTCTACCCCTGTAGACAGGGGTGGGCCTGGGTTAGCCTCATTTCCAAGAAGCAGAGTGGGCAAGTGTGTCTAACTCTGGGCTTCAGGACTAGGAATCTCACTCTAATTTTTCTTAAAGATTTATTTATTTATTTGAAAGTCAGAGTTACAGAGAGAGAGAAGGAGAGGCAGAGAGAAAGATGTCTTCCATCCATTGGTTCACTCCCCCATTGGCCCTAAAGGCTGGGGCTGCGCTATTCTGATGCCAGGAACCAGGAGCTTCTTCTGAGTCTTCCCACACTGGTGCAGGGGCCCAAAGACTTGGGCCATCTTCTACTGCTTTCCCAGGCCATAGTAGAGAACTGGATAGGAAGTGAGCAGCCGGGACTTGGCGCCCAGATGGGATGCCGGCACTGCAGGTGGTGGCTTTACTCACTATGCCACAGCACTGGCCCCATCACTCTAATTTCTAATACACATTCTCCAGCACAAGTGTTTGTCAGGAAAAAGAATGATGTGTTGATTCTCCATAAATTGACATTTTTGTCTTATTTCTTTATTAACTCATAATTGGGGAGGGAAGAGAGTACTATTACTAGATCTCCTCAAAGGGCCAAGAGAGCAGCCATGATGCTGGTCTGGATATTTTTGAGCCATTGAGCTAACGTTAGCAACCACTTCCCTTGACAGGTGAGCAAGATAAAGCCCTGCTTGTGCAGTTCAGAGGGACCCAGCAGCCTTTCTGATAAATTGTGAGTGTATTCCCACCTGATAGCAGGAGGCTGTGAAGCCCTCAAATGTTGACCTCCACAGAGGACAGGTTTGAAGAGTGGATTTGGAGCCATCAGTGTTGAGATGGAAGTGGAGGTCATGGCACTGGGCATTGTGGGAGCACAGGGGAAGGGCACCTAGCTGACATGCAGAGTCAAGAAAAGCTTCCTGGAAGAATGGTTGTCACTCCATCTTGAAGAGTGAGAAGAGAAAGAGACATTGAGGTCTGAGAGTGGAGATTTGGTGGAGGTAGGATGAGGGTGGGTGGCGCTGCAGTTAGGGTAGGCAGACATGAACATGAAGGAATGAAGCCCGTAACAAACGTGCATGTGTGTGTGTTTGTATGTGTGTGTGTGTGCGTGTGTGTGTGTGAGTGGCCATGCACATGCACCTGAGGAGTGGTTGCAGTGATGACAAGAAAGAAGACAGATGGATATCAAGGAGATGTCTCAATATGGTGAAGCATGAGGAATGATAAGAACTTGAACTAAGCTCCGACAGAGGGGACAGAAAGGGCAGCACTGATTTGGGAGGCATTTATGAACAGGAAGAGCAGCACGTTTCAGTCAAGGAGATGATGTGGTTTCAGATTCCAGGACAGAATCACCAACCTCTATGGCTACAATAGGACCCACGTCTGCCAGCTGCCAGTACCTTCATGGTGTGTGGTGCATGTTTCGCTGGGTTCTGAATCCCTGGGGATGCTCTGGGAAGTTGTATTTTTCCTGGTAATATGGAAAGGGATGAACAGGCAGCAGGCAATGTCTCTTCTCTCTTTCTTATTGCCTCCTATTCAGCAACCTCAGGACATTTTGAACCAATAAGAGGAGAAAAAGTCATGAGAACAGCCCTAGGGTGGGCACTGTGCAGTGGTTAGGACACTGCTTTGGACACTCGCATCCCATTCCAGAGCACCTGGGTTCGAATTTTCGCTCCACTCCCAATTCCAGCTTCCTGCTAATGCACACTGTGGGAGGCAGCAGGTGATGGCTCAAGTAGCTGATTCCCTGCCACCCATATGGAGGACCTGGATTGAGATCCTGGCTTTTGGCTTCAACTTTGCTTAGGCCTGGCTGTTGCTATCATTTGAGAAGTGTGCCAGTGGGTAGGGGGTCTCTCTCTCTGCTTCTCTCTCTTTCAAATAACATAAACAAGCAAATAAAAAGAAAACAGCCATGGTGCTGGCCTTGACATCATAGAGTTATTGAATGTATGCCAGCAGCCACTTACCTCCATACTACCTGATAATGGCCTGTTTCAATCAGGCTTTCTGGTAAACTGCGTGAACATACTACTTGATACAGCAAAGTCAAGGCTGCATTAGGCCCAGCCCTCTGGAGAGCATAGAGCTGCAGACTGTGGTTTGGGGGCCATAAGTGCGTATTTGGAAGGTGGAGTCAGGGGCTGGTTACATAGAGTGACTAGTGAAGAGGGAGTGACTGGCTTTCGGGGAGTCAGAAAACTGGGAAAAATGATCTACGGAGGCCAAGTGTGAAGTTCATTGTCAACAACTTGATGGATGCTGGGCTGCTTTCTCTCTCTGGGCTTCACATCAGTCACTCATTTAACACTTGTTTACTAAGAGAAAGTCCCATGCTTGAGTGGCTGTGGCAGTTACACAGCTGTCCTTTTGGGCACGGGCTCTGTGATTTCTGGAGAGCCCCATCCAGCATTTCCCTGTGTGCGGAAGAGGACCTGTCTTGTTTCTGAGTGAGCCGCCTGGCAGTACTCTGTGGCTGTTGCCCTTGTCTGTACTGGGCATGGTGCAGGGAAGAGTAGCTGATGTTTGACCCTAGATAGTCCACAAGTTCAACTGTGTGGGGTCTGGGAGTCTTTGAAAAAGCCACGCACCATGAACAAGGTCAATGCTTGCCTTTGGACAAGTCAGTGTTCTCTGTGACTTGTAAAAGCTATCAGATTGCGGTATCCTCACTGCTCTTTCTTTATAGAGGACCCTGGCTTCTTTACTTCGTGGTGTAGATCAGCGATATGATGACATCACTGGAGGGGAGTTGGCTGCAGCAGGAATCTGCCAGGTCGCAGTTTTTGGTTCTCCTGGAGCCAGCACAGTATGTGCTCAGAGAACAGTGGCTGTGGCATCAACATTCTTGAACCCCAGCCTCAGTCCCAAGATCAGTGAAGGAGCCTCATTTGTAAAGTGGGGATCATATTGAGCTAAGTTATATGCTGTTTGCCACAGCAACTGATTGTAGGGGGCTGTTGAGCTCCATCCCCTATTTTTTTTTATTTCATTACATTAAAAGCATTACTTCTATTTGCAAGGCAGAGCAACCTTCCATTTGCTGGCTCACTCCCCAAATGTCTGCATCAGCTAGGGCTGAGCCAGGCAGAAGCCAGGAGTCAGCAATTCCATCTGGGTCTCCCACATAGGTGTCAGGGACCCAAGTACTTGAGTCATCATCTCCTGCCTCCTAGGGTATGCATTAGTAGGAAGTTAGATCAGAAGAGGAGGTGGGACTCTATCTCAGGCACTCTGATGTGGGATCAGAGCATTTCAGGCAGCAGCCTAATAGGCTGCACACCAGAACCCTCCCTCACTTAAAACACTTGACTCCTATGTAATGCTAGCTTGTACATCTTCATGGGCCACAGTGAAACATTACGATAGATGCATTCAGTGTGAACTGATCAAGTCAGCCAACCAGCATTCTCACCTCCCCTTCTCCCCCCAGGTTTGGAGTCTACTAGCTGTCTCCTCCAGATCATTACACAGTGTAGAATAAACTATAGTGATCTGCAGTTGCCCCACTGTGCTGGGGAGCACCAGAACCCGCCTATTCTAGATTTTGGTACTCCTTGCTTTTCACAGCCTCATGCAACACACCTTCAACATGTAGGGAGCTTCAGATTCAAGCTGAATTCTGTCTTCAACAATCTGATCCATTTCGAGTCTCCTCTCCTTGCAGGGGCTTGGCCCTGGAAATGATTTTTGAAGGCTTCTCTGATTTGAACTACTCAATGATTCTGTTAAAGCTGGTTTCAATGTCTGGAGTTTTTCTTTTTGCCAGAAGGTGGTGCTATGAAGTCTCTTATTTTATTACGAACAGCTCTGTGTTTGCCTCAAGGTCTGGGTGATCCAAGGTGGCCCCTTAGATGGTCTGAATGTGAACTTTTGGTGGTGATGGTGTGGGAGTGTCGTTTTGTAGATCCTAACTATTCTTCAACCCCAGTCTTTCCCAGTCCTGCTAAGTCAGGCTGCAGTCTGGTCCAGCTCTTCTCAAGTCTCACATCTGATCTGTGCCTCCTAGGTTCTGTGGCCACAGAAGGGAGGCTGTGAGCCCCTGCACCATGGGGATGGCAGGTGTCTGAGGCCTGGTCCCCAAGACTATGCTGGCGCAGGTTGCACCTGAGACTGGACTGGTTGAGGGCCTCAGCAGAAACAGTATTTGGGCTTGGCCAGGCCTCCCAAGACCATTTCCTACTGCTCACCCCACAGCCGCATGTCCTCGTGTCCCTGCAAGCCTCAGGTGAGCTACTACTCACTATTCCCAGGCCTCCCCCTGCTCCAGTTGGATGGGTCAGACCTTAGGCTAAGGACAAGAGTTGACCTGGGTTTTGGTGGGGTTGAGGAGGCCACTCACTTCTAGCTGTCTCCCCCTAGGAGCAGGTCCCAGGAGGCAGCCATGGTGTTCTGTTACAACAGTAAGGGGGTTGGCTCTCGATGGGTGTAGACTGCTCTGTGGCCCACCAACAGCAGTCAGTGTCAGTCTCTCAGACACACAATATTGTTAAGGTTGGAACAGTATACAAATAAAGAAAGATGTGAAAAGTTGATATCATCTGAGGAAGGGCTTTCTGCTCATAGACCAGCTCCCAAGGTGCCTGCCTTTCTTGGGACTGGTCCCTGGGACTCATTGGCCTGCCTTCCCTTTGGGGACTGTCCCCACCTTCCAGGTCTCCTGTCCTGGGTTGCTTTCCCTCCTCAAGTCCAGAGGAAATTGTTGGTTTTGCTGTGGATCACTATGTAGAAACAGCTGCTGTCTTCCACATGGTGACAAGTCACAGCAGAGAGACGGTGAGTGCTGCAAGGGCAGGGGCTGGATGAGGCCCCCAGCTCTGTGATCACTGCCTGCAAGTTACTGTCTCTGTTCTGCATCAGTTTTCATCTTAGCTTGCCTTTCTTTCCTTTCTTATTATCTCTTTTCTTTTCCATTCCTTTCCCTTCCCTTCCCTCTCTTCTTTTCTTCTCACTTTCTCTCCTTCCTTCCTCACTCCCTCCCTCTCTCCCTCCCTCTCTTCTTCCTTCCTCCCTTCCTCCCTTCCTTCCCTCCCTCCCTCCCTCCCTCTCTTCTTCTCACTTTCTCTCCTTCCTTCCTTCCTTCCTCCCTTCCTTCCTTCCTTCCCTCCCGCCCTCTCTTCTTCTCACTTTCTCTCCTTCCTTCCTTCCTTCCTTCCTTCCTTCCTTCCTTCCTTCCTTCCTTCCCTTCTCCCTCCCTCCCTCCCTCTCTTCTTCCTTCCTCCCTCTCTCCCTTCCTTCTTTTCTTCTTTTGTTTCTGCCTTATTTATGGCAGAGACACACAAAAAGAGACAGAGTGAGCTCCCATTCACCGGTTCTCTCTCCAAATGCCCAGAATCATTAACACTGCTCTGGAGTTGGAGTTAGGAACTCAATCCAGGTCTCCCAGTTGGGTGACAGGAACTCAATTCTTTGAGCCATCACCTCTGCCTCTCAGTGTCAGCATGAGTAGGAAGCTGAGTCAGGAGCCGGAGTTGGGTATTGAACCCAGGCATTCTGATGTGGGACACGAATGTGTTAACCAGTGTCTTCATTGCCAGGCTAAATTCTGACCCAAAGCATTGACTTTTTTCTTTATCCATTCAATGGATAATAAACCTGCTTTATAGGATTAGATGAAAGAACTCTGAGTAAAAAATGGATTTTATTGAAAACTTACTCTGTTCTGGGTCTTAGGCTAAGCTATGTATATAATGTGACCTAAATAACACAACCAAAAGATTTGTTTTTGTATTTTATAAAACATGTAACATATATATTAATGTTAATATAAAATTTTTGTATTACAAAAGTGCAAAGAAATATATACAATAATTTTTAATCATATATTTTATTTAGCCCAAAATGTGACAATCGCAATATGTGGGCACCAAAGTACTCAAAAGGCACATGCAGCTAGCATCTGTTCTATGGACAATGGCTGTCATTTACATAATTATATATATTATATTCAGTTTTGTTGTTATTTGCATGTGTACCTTGGAGTTCATATGTTGGAAACTTAATTACTCAATGCACAGTGTTGAGAGATGAGGGAATGCATGAATGTGATTATCACGGAGCTGAGATTCAGATAAAAGAATGAATTTGCCCCTTTTCTCTCCCCCCTCCTCTTCCTCACTTATCTCTTGCTCTTCTGCCTTCCATGATGGGGTAATGCATCAAGAAGGCTTTCCCCAGGAGTCAGTCCCTCAGCCTCCATCACTGTAAGAACTCCCCAGACTCCACCACTGTAAGAAATAAATCTTTTTTCTTCAAAAGTTACCCAGCCCTAGACATTCTGTTATAGCAGAACAAAACAGACTAAGGCACATGTATAATACACACAGAGACACACACATGTAAACACTTGCATATATATTGTGCATTGCATGCAATGGTTTGAAACATTCATACGCTAGAATATGCAAAAAATACCTGATACTTATTGCCAAGAACTATGCTAAGTATTCATTCATATTAACTTACTGAATCTTCACACACATTCCCGAGAACAGGAGTGGAGTGACATGGGAAGAGAGTGCATGGGAAGAGAGTGCATGGGTGCATGGGTGTATTCTTGAACCATATACTACTGTGGGCAACCTGGACTTGATTCTGTCTTGGAATAGTTAACTAGAGACAGGAAGAACTGTGTTTTGATCTTCAATGGCTATGCAGTGTCCTGGGGGTGTCAACTCTGCTGCCCTCTGGTTTGCACATGAGCCAGATTCCTGCCTGCAGCTCAAAAAGTGAGAGGCTCCAGGCAGAAAGCAAGGAATGCTTGGTGCTGAAGAAGGAGGTTGCTATAGCTTGTTGCTTCGACAAAGACCAGGGAAAATGATGACCAAGAGAGGATGAGGTGGGGATGAAACATGTACAGCACCGTTGTCTTTCTGGCACCCTGCCCCAGAGGGCTGATGCATGGTGAAATCTGAGTGTTTGGAAAATGCAAATAGATAATTTCAGAGTGCTTGTCTCAGGGTAGCAAATTGCAGTGGGGAGAGTCATGGGGACCTCCCACATGTGTCCCATCAGAGCTAATACTTGGATACCAACCACTACGGGTTCACAGGTGGCCTAGACAGCAGCTGTCATGAGAAAAGATTTTCCTCCTGACTCCCTGCCCTCTCTGTTCCTCCCGCAGGAGAAATTAGAAGTATAGACTGAGGAGGAAGGAGAAGAGAGAATGAATGCGCCACTTCCCCGCTGTTTCCTCCCAAGTCATATTGGCAAGATAAGTTGAGCCAAGAGGAGAGAGGAATGTGAATTAAAAATTCAACATGACACTGTTTTCGAATGAACTGGACTGAATTTTAATATCTAAAAGTGACTGAAAAACTATGTTGCTAAGAGATGGGAAGGGAGATTTAACACAGCAACATTGAAGCAGTGATGAGAGGGAATAAAGTCTCCATGTTTGAACCTCACCAGGTTTGGATTTGCAAACACTGGCTACATTATCATTTAGCTATTCATCTCCTAGGATAACTGAATTAGCAATGCTTCCTTCTCCTGGCAGCAGAGTTCTTGGTGTAGGCAATGTCATGTGTGTGTGATCAGCAGTGTTTAGGAGAAAGTGTATGTTATGATGATGCTGTCAGCTTCTAGGGCCCTCAGGAGCCAGAAAGATCACACATGAGGGAAGCAGGCTTGGTTAGGACTGACAAGCCAGAGAGCTCATGCCCTACTTAAAGGGTTGTTCAGCTGCTGCCTTGCAGAATCAGTAGGGTAGGAGCTTGTATTGTTGGTCATGAGCACTAAATCCTTGGCTTGGTTGCCACTAGCATTCCCTCTGCCTCTTGTTGGATTGCATAGATCTGCCAGTTCTTGACATTTCTCTACCCAGCCCTTTCAGATACAGTTTTGCTGTGTCCTCGCATTGTGGTCAGGGGCACTTCCTCACTTCTCTCTGTGTTCTCTCTTGACTTTCTCATGACTTGTGTTGGCTGATGGTCTGTTAGCAGATGAGGTTGAGAGGCAGGCTTGCAGTGCACTTGGACGAGTGGGTTTGTTGCCTTGTGCCTCTGCCATTGCCATGAGTAGAACATGCTTGAGATAGCCTGGCAACTGATTCCATAAGAGGAGTGAGAGGTATTTGGAGCAGAGCTGAGCCACACCTGTCAAATCCATCTTGCGACAACACATGATGGCTGTTGCAGGCCTCTGAATTGTGGGGTGGTTGGTCACATAGCAATTTTGCAGTGACAGTGAGACCAGCACAACCCCTCCAGCCAGCACTGACATGGCAACTCTCTTTCTTGCTGAGTCTCTAGATGGCCATTGTTAATCCACAAGAATGAGCAGACCAGGTGAACTGGTGAACCAGGTGAACCTCCAGGGGGCACACAGAGAGCCTCTGAAGGCTGGCCTGGGGGTTTTGGGTGTGTTCATGGTGCCTCTTCTTTGTCTGTTTTGTTTTTGAATTTATAGAGCTTTGGCTCTGCCACAGTGAGCTGTTCAATACTCACAGGGTATCTGATTTTGTCTATTTGGTCCCTTTTCTTAGCATTTGTACTCTGGGCTTTTTACAGCTTCAAAGAGCTTCTCGCCCATATTCACTAATTAATTCATTACTCCTGTGAGTAAAACCTGCAGCAGTGAGTGGAGAATGTCATTAGCAAGAATACCAGAGGCTCATTATTTAAAAGAGGTTGTCCAAATCCAGGCCCCCTCCACCAGAGCTGTTAACCACATCTCTGCTGACAGTGCCTGAGCAGCAGGTGTATAGCAGGGAGTTACCAAGCACTGATTATGTATGCAGCTATGCCCAGCGCCATTGGGATAAAGAAGCTGTAAAACATGGTTTCTCTACCTTTAGTCTAGTGAGACTTTGGAGTTATACAGACCTGAATTTGAATCCTGGAAATTTAGAATTGTGTGGCTTTGGGCTAAGTAGCTCCTGTAAGTTTCAATTTCCACATCTCTAAATGCCTCTTTAGTGTCTAAGTGAGGATGACCCCACATGATGCAAATGGAAGTTTCAGTTCAAGGTCTGGACCACAGTAAGTGCTCCACCAATATGGTGATTCCCAACCTCACTCAGCTGGTGCCTGGCACAGGCATACAGGACACTGGGGCAGAGGGTTGAAGTATTGGGAATACCTTTATGTCATAGTTGAGATGAGGGGGATGGGAGAGAAGGACATAGAAGGGCTGGAGAAGTAGGAGGGATACCAGTGCAATGCCAGCACGCAGAGGCCAAGGAAGAATTTCAGGAATGGTGAGGGTGGGGGGGTGTGGCACTCAGTCCTGTCCTGCACTAAGGAGAGAAAGAGCAAATGTAGATGGAAAACATCCATCCGTTCAACCCCCCAGAAGTTATTAAGTGCCTGGGGTGGCCATGAAAACACCCATCCAAAGTGTGTGAGGGGAGCATGACTGGCAGTCCAGACACGTTCTGCTCTCCAAACAGCCATGCATGAGTGTGGGATATGTTTCTTCTGGGCTTTTCTGTGAGACTCAGGTGGTCTAATGGACTCCTCATTGGCCCAATCAAAAACAATCTTAAAATCATTATGGGTCTAATATTCTTCCTACCCCTCTCCTGGTACAGCTCTCAGAGCTGCACTTCGGTTCCAAGGATCTCCTTGTTCCCTGTAACCCGTATCTGTCACAAGTGGGATATACAACATATCTCTTGCTCTTCTAGCTTCATCTGGGCTTTGGCTTTCTGGAATATGCAAATTAACACCAACTAATGGAGTGCCTAACATGAGTCATGCCATATATTCTGCTTTGGAGAAAATAGTGGTGGCCAAGACAAACATTCCTAACCCCATGCAGTAGTGAAGGTAATACAGAATGCAGGATAAATAGGTCAATATATCTACCCATTCGTCTGTCCACCCATCCATCCATCCATCCATTCACCCATCCACCCATCCATAAGAATATAAATTTTAGACACTGAAGCTTGCTACGAAAAAACCCAACCCAACCAAACCTAACAAAATCAAGGAGATAGTTTAGATTGGGGAGTGAGGAAGGGCCTTTGAAATATTCAACCAGAGACCAGAAAGTTGAGGAGTCAGCTAGTCCAGTGATGGAGTTGTGGTCTTTGATGATTAATTTTATCTGTCATCCTGGCTGTGCTAGGGGTCAAATATTCTGGATGTTTCTCTAAGAGTGTTTTGGAATGAGATTAACATTTAAATTGGTGGTCTCTGAGTCAAGCAGATTTCCCTTTATAATGTGGGTGAGTCACATCCAATAAGTTGAAAGCTGAATGGAACAAAAGATTGACCTCTTCCCAATTAAGAGAGAATTTTGGCCTTTGGACTTGAACCACTACGTTGACTTTTCCTGATTCTCCTTCCTGACAACCTTCAGACTCCCCATCCTGGGTCTTGAGCCTGCTAACCCAGCTTGCGGATTTTGAACTTGTCAACCTTCCCCACTGTATGAGCCAATTCCCTAAAGCAAATCTATTTCTATATTCATACACATCCTATTGGTTCTCTTTCTCTGGAGAGTTCTGACTAATTCAGGGTGGGGAAGTATTCTGTATTCTTTGTAGAGAGAACAGCACTTGCCAAGAAGGGGAGTGTGTCTTCAAGTCAGCAGGAAGGCTACTGTGGCTGGGGCTTAGTGACAGAGGAGGACCTGGGGAGAGATGAGGGCTTGCTGGAACCAAACCACAGGAACAGACAATGTGGACATTGTTGGTGACCTCTGAGAGCATTGTTAGTCCAGCAGTGAGAGTGGGAGCCAATAAGTGTTTCAGACCTAAGTGGGTGGCGTGGAAGTTGGAGTTGAGGAATAGGCCATTGTGTCTAGGCTCAGTGCTTACAGAACGAAGAGTAGCCTCAGTGGGGATTTTTAAGAAAAAGAATCTTGCTCACAGATATGAGCAGGCTAAAGAGTGAGAGATTGATTGACATGGCAAGAGGGAGAGAGGGGATAATTGATGACAAGGAGTCCCAGACACAGTGAAAGTTAGGCCATTGTTATTGAAGGATGCCTCCTGTAATGTAATGATGTCCTAATATCCAGGTGCTATGAATGTGATGTAATAAAGAAAAAAAAAATCTATCTTTGCAAATGTAATTAGGTTAAGGATCTTGAGATGAGATCATCCCATATGGGCCTTAAATCTATCACAGAATATTCTTGTAAGAGAAAGAAGAAAAGACACGGAAACACATGAAGAGCAACTGGACCACGGAGACTACCCAGAGTGAGGCTGCCAAGGACGCCAGGGATTGAGGGGAGCCAACAGAGCTCCAGCGGGAGGGCAGCCCTGCTGACAGTCTGATTTAGGACCTGCAGCTTTCAGAACTCTGACAGAATAAATTTCCATTGTTTTAGGGCACTGAGTACGTAGTAATTTGTTGTGGCAGCCCTGGGAAACAAACACAGGAGTGACGGACCCAAAGTGACATCTCTTCCTCCTATAAATGTGGGCAGCTCACCTGTTTGGGGATATGCACCTCCTGGGATACCTCATTACTGTGGGCTCTGTGCCTTCTCTTATTGCTGTGTACAATAATTTTTATTTATTTGATTCGAAATGGAAACAGAGAGAGTGAGAGTGAGAGAGAGAGAGAGAAGAGAGAGGAACAGAGATCTCCCAACTATAGATTCATTTCCTAAATGACAGCGACACGGGCTGGTGCTGTGGTGTAATGAGTAAAGCTGCCGCCTGCAGTGCTAGCATCCCACACAGGTGCTGATTCGAGTCCTGGCTGCTCGACTTCCAATCCAGCTCTCTGCTATGTCCTGGGGAAGCAGTAGAAGATGGCCCAAGTCCTTGGTCCCCTGCACCCACATGGGCAACCCGGGAGAAACTCCTGGCTGCTGGCTTTGGATTGACCCAGCTCCAGCTGTTGCAGCCATTTGGGGAGTGAACCAGTAGATAGAAGACTCTCTCTCTCTCTTTCTCTCTCTTTCTCTCTCTCCACCTCTGCCTCTCCGTAATTCTGCCTTTCAAATGTATAAATAAATCTTAAAAAAATGCCAGCAACAGTTTGAAGTTTAATTCAGGTCTCTCAAATGGGTGACAGTGACCCAAGTACTGGAGCCATCATCTGCTGCCACTCAACGTATGAATCAGCAGGAAGTTGGAATGGAGAATGGAGCTGGGACTCAAACCCAGCACTGTGAATTGGCATGTGGGCATCCCAAGAAGCACCTTAACCACCGTGCCCCTCTTGTTGCTTTTGCCTATTTTTCATGCTTCCACCCAGGAAGCCCAGCGGTGTAGGGAAATGATATGACCTCGGGATGCAGACTTGCTAGATTTTGAAATACAGCTTCTTATTTGCTTGCTTTGTGATCTCTGAGCCTCATGTTATTCCAGGTTTCCTTGAGGACCAAATGTTCCACTTCATGTGGAGTTCTTAGCACAGGCCCTGGGGCTGGTGTACGCTTTACTTATGTCCTTTCACCTCAATGTGATGTATTCATCTTTATTCTCCTTTAAGAGTTATTGGATGTAATACATTCATAATAAGGAGTTATTGACTTGTGATTCGCTGAGATTTTGATTTGTTGTTATTGTTGATTGTTGAAGTATCTATGTATTGAGTCACTGCTATATGTCAGGTGTCCATCTCACCATTTAAATAATGTATTTATTTAATTCTCATGCATGCTAACATTCATGTACTATCGTTGAAGGGGATAAAAGCAGTGGAGGCATAATTGGCACCTGGATCTGATTCCTGGGTCCATTGTACTATCCTGATGAAGAGCCCTTTCTGTCAAGCAAGTTGAAGCCTTTTGTGTTCTTGCCTTCACTTCCTAAGAGCTAGCCTAAGTCCCTCTTGCTGCAGTCTGTCTGTAGTCCCCTGCTAAGCCCCTGCCAGAGCCAAACCATGTCCTGGCTGCTTTGCAGCTTTCTCATCCAGTGTTTGTCTTTTTCTTTTCCCTTACTGGGTGTAGAGTTAAAGCCCATTGCTAAGACCCTGTCTCTTCACAGATCTTTTCACATAACGTTTAATGGCTTGTAATGACTATGACCCCAGTGGCAGTCACCTAGTGACCTTCAAGTTGGCATTTCAGTTAGCTGTACTGATTGCTGGGTTTGGGCATTTCATATATTTGTGAGTAAACTTAGCTGAAGAGCAGTCAGTTAAGGGACTTAGCACTAGCCTGCTTCTTTGGGGGAAGGGTGGGAATTAAAAACCTCATTGCATTTTCTTTTGCTCTGGTTGAGAGAAAGAAAGAAAAGGTGACTCTCAGGCAGGCAGTCACAGCGGGAGGCTTAGCCTCCTGTCAGCTTAACAAGTGTGAGAATTCCCTTTTCTCCCCTCTCATCTTCCCCTTCTCTTCCTTCCTCTCCCCTCTCCCTGTCACCCCTTCCTTTCTTTTCCTCTCCTCTTCTTGTTTTTCTTCCATTCTTCATTTCTTTCTGGATGATTTTGGTGGACACATTAAGAACTTAATGTCTCCATGCCTCATTAGCCTATGGGCACCGATGGGGCAGATTGTTAGAGTTGACCTTGGACTTCACACACATACCTCAATTGTCTGTGTGAGCCCTTGTGTCCCCTGTGAAGGCCAAGTCCTTCCTTCCCAGGTACCCCTGGGAGTCCTCTGCATGTCTCAAGATGCTTACCCGCCAGCTGCTCTGTGGTACCTGCCATGCCTTTCCTCCCCTACAGGGATCTTCTTCCACGGCGTCCTCTTCCTACTGGGCTTCCTGAGGCATCTCACTGTGGCCAGTGCTGCTGGGATCTCTGGTGGGAGGGTGGTAAATCTGGGAGCACAGAGTCCTCTGATGCTGCTGAGTTCAGCTGTCTTGGGGTGGGACCACCTGGAGCCCCCAGGATTCAAAAGTTCATGTCATGAAGGGTTGGACTTGGCCCCTGGCCTCCAGAGATTCAGATACCCTTTGCTCTCCATTTCCCCCTCTTTTCTCTTCTCTGGGTGTCCATACCTCAGTGCTTCCCCTCTTGAATGCCATCTCCACCATTCCAAATAAATAAACCAAACCCAAGTGACAGTAAAACAGGAAGATGCACAGATGTTTTGTGGGTTCAAGGGACACAATACCACTTCAAAAAAAAAAAAAAAGAGTTGTTAAAAATAGAAGCTTCTTTTTAAGCTTTTTTTTTTTTTTTTTTGACAGGCAGAGTGGACAGTGAGAGAGAGAGACAGAGAGAAAGGTCTTCCTTTTTTGCCGTTGGTTCAACCCCCAGTGGCCGCTGCGGCTGGTGTACTGCGCTGATCCAAAGCTAGGAGCCAGGTGCTTCTCCTGGTCTCCCATACTGGTGCAGGGCCCAAGGACTTGGGCCATCCTCCACTGCATTCCCGGGCCACAGCAGAGAGCTAGACTGGAAGAGGAGCAACTGGGACAGAATCCGGCACCCCGACCGGGACTAGAACCTGGTGTGCTGGTGCCGCAGGAGGAGGATTAGCCTATTGAGCCGTGGTGCCGGCCATCTTTTTAAGTTTGATATGACCAAGTCTACACTGTCTACTCTCAATCAAGGTCTTCCACATATATTGTTATTTCTTTAAATAAACACCTGTGTGGCCCTAGAAAGAGACTTGAACTTAATGGAGTGGGAGACCCTTATCTTGATACTTCCACCACTTTGACTTGTGTGACTTAGGTCTGTTACTTATTAACATTTTGCTTGAATTCTTTATCCATTAAACTCAATGGATTAACCCGGCGCTGCGGCTCAATAGGCTAATCCTCCTCCTTGCGGCGCCGGCACACCGGGTTCTAGTCCCGGTCGGGGCGCCGGATTCTGTCTCGGTTGCCCCTCTTCCAGGCCAGCTCTCTGCTATGGCCTGGGAGTGCAGTGGAGGATGGCCCAAGTGCTTGGGCCCTGCACCCACATGGGAGACCAGGAGAAGCACCTGGCTCCTGGCTTCGGATCAGCGCGGTGCGCCGGCCGTAGCGCACTGGCCGGCGGCCATTGGAGGGTGAACCAACAGCAAAGGAAGATCTTTCTCTCTGTCTCTCTCTCTCTCACTGTCCACTCTGCCTGCCAAAAAAATAAAAAAAAAAACTCAATGGATTAGATGAAATAATTTTAATAAAACATCTCCTTGGTACATAATAGGAAAGCCATATATATTTTTAAAAATCAACCTAAAATCACTACACTATTTTAAACATATAGTTGCCTACTGTAATGATTTAATTCCTATGCTTGGCATCCACCACATGGTCTCCATGAGCCCTCACACTCACCTTTCCCTTTCGCAGTTTCCTGCCTGGTTCTTTCTGTCTTCCTCAGTGAGCTGAGTTGGAAAAGGTTGAGGATTTGGACAAAAGAACCTTACAATTTAATTCAGCTTGCTGTTTACTAGTTATTTAAACTTGTGCAGATAACTCAGGATCTCTGTTCATATAAAATGATGAATGCAGGGCCCTTGTCAGGGACTTGGTACCTGCTCATTTCATTGCAGTATGGTCCATACTAGTTCTCTTCAAGTTCCATCATGTTTAGAGGCTGGGCTTCTGGGCCACAAATCTTGGAGGGCATTGGGAATCTGACAAGTGCGTGGAAGGAGGTCCCATGATCTAAAGAGATCTGTTCCCAGTGTCAGTGAGCAGGACACTGAAGAACGAAGGAATGTGATAATGAGATAGTTGCCATGTATTGATTCCTTCCAATGAGATATAATTCTTACAAGAGTCCTTGGAAGTAGCCCATAGTATTATTCACATTTGACAAAGGGAAAGATTGAGGGACAAAACTCAGCATTATCCAGAAAGTAAGTGATAGTCTTCAAAAACAGAAGGCTAATTAGAGTCTAGAATTTCAATCTAGGTTATGAAATAGTGGTTTAAGATCTGAAGAGGCAGCAGAATGACAGACCAAGGATGAAGATGGAGGAAAGAGAGAGTGGTGGGTTAGCACAGAGAACACAGAGTGAGGGTGCCAAGAATCTGGGGCTCTTGGGCCATGGATTCCCAGTCCAGACCTTTGCATAACTAACACATCTATACCAACCTATTGGACAGGCACCTACTATACTGTGGGTGTTGGCTTGATTGTCCTACTAAGGCTCACAATTAAGACTTGGTCTCCAGGGTGAAGCTACTGGGAGATGATGGAACATTTGAGAGGTAGGGGTCTTGTGGAGTATCCTTGTCATGGGGATCATGCTTTCAGAAGGCAGTTCTTATGCAACCTCTTAAGTTCTTAGAATTTTATAAAATTTTGGACTTGAGCTGCACACTCTCTGTTGCTGGTTCAAGATGGAATCAGTTGCTGGCTCATTCATGAAGTCATGCTGTTGCTCCCTGCCATGATGCAACAAAACAGAAGTGCACTGCTGCTTGTGCAATGTCCTTGAACCTTCAAAACGGTGAGCTAAGTAGACATTTTCTCTTTAAAGTTGAGTGCCTCAAGCATTTTATTATAGTAATGCAGTTGTGATGAATATATATCCCAATGTCTTTTCCACCTTACTTGAATTACTTCTTCTCCTTTCCTGCATAAAACCTTGGGCAGTTTCTGAAATTTTTTCTACCAGTATTGGAAAATAAATGAATAGCTCTGGTGTTTTGACATCAAAAAGCTCAGGCTAATGAAAATCCGCCAACTCCAGTACAGTCTATGTAGTACTGTGATTCTGGTACTATCTGATGTCATCATTGCACTCTATGTTCTTACCTAATTTAAAGTTTCCCCATCACTCCCTTCTTCAGGTGATGTTGCGTGCCAAAAAACTGAGGGATGGAGGTGGCTTCATCTTGTCTTATTTCCTCCTTTTACACCAGCTCCTGTTTCTGTCCTCTCTAGATTCATACCAGGTAAGAGGGCATATAGAGAAAGTCCCTCTGAGAGCAGTGCTCTCTAGATGGCCACTGCATAACTGCTATCTCTGTCCCTCATGGGGAGCTATTTTGAGCTCTCTGTGAAGTTTTTGCCAGTGACCTCCTCCATATTTCTGCCAGTAACCCTTTGATACAGATCCTAGATCTTTCCTGAATGGTCACTTTGACCATCCTCTTAGTCACTGAGCCACCAGCAGTTCATCATGCTCTTGGGCTCACACCATCCTTCAGGCCATCCTTTCTGTTGAATATCATTTAAGACAATAATTGGGGCCTGTGCTGTGGTGTAACAAGTAAGGCCGCTGCCTGCAGTGCTGGCATCCCTTATGGGCACTGGTTCAAGACCCGGCTGCTTCACTTCCTATCCAGCTCTCTGCTATGGCCTGGGAAAGCAGTGGAAGACGGCCAAATCCTTGGGTACCTGCACCTGCATTGAAGACCTGGAAGAAGCTCCTGGCTTCTTGTTTTGGATCGGCACAGCTCCAGCCAATGTGGCCAATTGGGGAGTGAACCATCAGATGGAAGACCCCTTTCTCTCTCTCTCCTCTCTCTGTGTAACTCTGACTTTCAAATAAATAAATAAATAAATCTTAAAAAAAGGCAATAGACCATTTGACTCTGCCAAATCAGTATCTGGAAGAAAGGCACCCCTTTATCACATCACTGACGAAAGCGCACTCCACTCCCTGTGCATCCTCACCTTCATCGTGCTGCTCAGAGTTCCAGGTTTGTGCCATCGGAGACTCTCGGCCAGAGTCGTGGCCCTTCCTATGCTTTGGAATTCTTTGTGACACCTACAGAAGGCTTTCTAGGGGCCTCCTTGAAAACTTTCCCATTTGATTCAACAGGAGAGGAAATCGAACTCCCTGTGGTTAAAGATAGGTACTGCATAATATATTGTTATGAGCTTCAAAAACGCATCTCTTGATTCCTCCACTGTAGTCTTGAAGAAGCCTGGTTATAGAATGCAGATTCTGTGTAAGCAGCCTGGTACCTGCCTCCAGAGGGTGATGGTGCTTGGCACTTACTGTTTTGTCCTCAACATTGATGAAAAGCTAAAATAACACAAAAGAATTCATTTTACTTTCTTTTTCCATAAGTTGGTGATATTTCATAAGTATGGGAATACAGCAGCTTCCATCCTGGATAGATTTTGTCCTTGGAAGCTTCTCTGATGACCCCATCGACAATGATCCTCTGAGTGCACCTGCCCTTGCAGGCACCATGGCTGCCCGATTTCTTGTTTCATTCTTGCTCCCCAATACAGCACTTGGCACACAGTAGGGACTCGAGAAACATTTTCTTAATGGCCAACTCAACACTTTGTCCTAGTGATTCTGCGTGTAGTTTTGGCTTCCCACTGAGGTTGGGAGTTTCTGTGGGGGAAGATCCAGGCTTCCCACATCTTCAGAAATATCCTTACCTTCAGCCAAAGCTGGTACCTCATTTATGAAGGAAAGATATTCATGGTAAAATGGAATTAAAATGTAAATTTATTTTAGTGCAAAATTTTTTGAAGCCCATGCATAGCTTTTTTAAGAAAGATTTTAATTATTTTTTGAGAGGTAGAGTTACAGACAGTGAGAAAGACAGAGAGAAATGTCTTCCATCAGCTGGTTCACTCCTCAAATGGCCACAACGGCCAGAGCTGTGCCGATCCAAAGCCAGGAGCCAGGTGCTTCTTCTGGGTCCCCCACGTGGGTGCAGAGGCCCAAGCACTTGGGCCATCTTCTACTGCTTTTCCAGGCCACAGCAGAGAGCTGTATTGGAAGAGGAGCATCCGGGACTAGAACCCGTGCCCATATTAGATGCCGGCTCCACAGGTGGAGGATTAACCTACTATGCCACGGTGCCGGCCCATAGCTTTTATTTTTTATTTTTTTGACAGGCAGAGTGGACAGTAAGAGAGAGAGAGAGAGACAGAGAGAAAGGTCTCCTTTTTGCCGTTGGTACACCCTCCAATGGCCGCCGCGGCCGGCGCGCTGCGGCCGGTGCACCGCGCTAATCCGATGGCAGGAGCCAGGTACTTATCCTGGTCTCCCATGGGATGCAGGGCCCAAGCACTTGAGCCATGCTCCACTGCCCTCCCTGGCCACAGCAGAGAGCTGGCCTGGAAGAGGGGCAACCAGGACAGAATCCGGCGCCCTGAACGGGACTAGAACCCAGCATGCCGGTGCCACAAGGCAGAGGATTAGCTTAGTGAGCCGCGGCGCCGGCCGGTCCATAGCTTTTAAATAATATGCATTTTCCATGAACTTTTTCAATTACTCTTGTATCCTCAACCAATAAGTACTGGTGGATTGACTTATTAGTTTATTCGTTCAATCAATAAATGCTTAGTGAGCTTCTATTTTGTGCTGG